CATACTAGTCTCGTGAGCTACCTAACACAAGTTTCTTACTTACCAGGCCCAAACCCCAAACCCCAAACCCCAAACCCCAAACCCCAAACCCCAAACCCCAAACCCCAAACCCTAAACCCTAAACCCTAAACTGAGGCCAAGAAGCGTGAAAGCTGGTGGCAGGGGCCTTGCAGGCTGCAGGTGGCTTGTAGGGTTTAGGGTTTAGGGTTTAGGGTTTAGGGTTTAGGGTTTAGGGTTTAGGGTTTAGGGTATGAGCTCGTTGGGGGGGCTAGGGGGGGGGGGGGGTTAGGGTTTTAGGGATAGGGAAGTATAAGTACCTTACATCCCCCCCCCCCCCCAACAAAAAACCCAGAAGTGCCCCACCCGGACAGCAGGGAAGATCGTTGTGCCCCAGCCAGCCATAGGCGGTTCACGTCCAGAATCTTGAGGAGATGCGCTTCTCACATGGTGCTACATGTGAAACATTTGCCGATGGCGTCTACAGCCGGCTGCTTGAACAGATGTTGTATCCCGAAGGGCCTTGGTGTGTGACCTTGAAAAGGCAAGTTGGAGCCTGTCGAGAGAGCGCAGTCTGTAGGATTCAGTCCCTTGTCTGAGGGCAAGCTTCAGCAACGGATTCGTGTCAGTACATATGGGTGGTTGTCAAAATTCTGGTCCCTTTTTGGATCCTTATTGCAACACGGCACCTAATATTTTAGTGTACCCCAAAAGGGATCATAATTTTGACAGCCACCCATCTACCCTAAACCCTAAACCCTAGACCCTAAACGGACCTCATGACTTCGTCAGAAGCTGGAGATGCAGTCGCCCGCACCCTTCGCCTTTGTGATGGCTAGGGTTTAGGGTTTAGGGTTTAGGGTTTAGGGTTTAGGGTTTAGGGTTTAGGGTTTAGGGTTTAGGGTTTAGGGTTTAGGGTTTAGGGTTTAGGGTTTAGGGTTTAAGGTTTAGGGTTTAGGGTTTAGGGTTTAGGGTTTAGGGGTTAGGGCATTTAGGGTTTAGGCAAAAAAGGACCCCCCACAATCGACCCCAAAAGAATCGGATTCCCATGGAAGCCCCATATAAGCTGGCTGCTTTGTGGTGCCTTGCCGTTCCCTGCCACTGCTAGGGTTTAGCCCTAAACCCTAAACCCTAAACCCTATTTCTGGCTCTGCCTTCATTCGCTTGGCATGCTGCGCACGGCGCCTCCTGTGCCCGGAACCTTTACCGAAGCAAAGAGGAAGAGAGATGCCCGCTAACAAACCGATGTAAAGCATATAAAGCTCTCTCAAGAGGTTTAGGGTTTAGGGTTTGGGGTTTAGGGTTTAGGGTTTAGGGCTTAGGGCTTAGGGTTTAAGGCCGGCAGTCCCTTATACTGAGAACCACTAGGACAAGGCTTTGTCGGGATGCTTCGGGCCTGGGAATCAAGACGCTTTCTTGCTCGACTTTCGGAAGAGAGTTCCGGGAGACAGCCTATAAACCCCATTGAAGGGTTGACAAACAACGGGTTTCGGGTATAGGGTTTAGGGCTTATAGGGGTACACAATGCGCTTAAATCCCTAGCTCTCCCTTGTTGGTCTTCCCCTAGAGCTCCAAGTATACAAATAACACCTACATTGAGGTCGAACGTCTGTAAATAATACCTACTTTGGGCTACTTGGAGCCTTAGGGTTCTGTTGAACTGACCTCAAGTGTGGGGGATGGAGATTCGGAGGTACAGCGTCCTGGTATCATACCCTCCCCAGGAGGACAGCGGCAGTTCTCAGTGAGCGATACTAGAGCTCTTACTCAAGGTAATATAGGGGCCTTAAGAATTGGAATAGGGGTTTGGAGGTTACTTTTAAAGCTTTGTAAAGGGACCATAAGGGAATACTACTATTCCGAACCCTATAGCACACTTGCCTTCTCGAACCCATGAGCCTCCCTCACACATTAAGGCATATCTGCACTCCCTGGCTCCCGAAAAAAATGTCCAGATCCCTTCTTCCCCCCCCTCCCCCACCCTCCCCCCCAACACACCTCCAAGAAACGAGAGGGGCCTGGAGGGATTTAGAATAAAGGGAGGAGACTAACGCCTAAAGCCTAAAGCCTCAAGCCTTAATCCCTAAACCCTAAACCCTAAACCCTAAACCCTAAACCCTAAACCCTAAACCCTAAACCCCTAAACCCTAAACCCTAAACCCTAAACCCCCCCCCACCCCCCCAACAAAAAAAAGAAGACGCCCCTTGCTCACGTTCCGGGGGCCTCTTGTGCTTCCACGCGTGTGAGTCGATTGCTCGGTGGCCAGGGCGCCCACACTGCTCCACGCCCATGCCTGAACTCTGAGTGACGCTAGCCCTAAACCCTAAACCCTAAACCCTAAACCCCAAACCCTGAACCCTGAACCCTAAACCCCAAACCCTGAACCCTGAACCCTGAACCCTAAACCCTAAACCCTGGGGCTCCAGCTCTGGGGGCGGGTGGGATGCCATCGGGGGGAGAAGCTGAGAAGCAGAACATGCGGCGCAGACGCATGCGATGGAAAGCCCTAAGGGATTTAGGGTTTAGGGTTTGGGGTTTAGGGTTTAGGGTTTAGGGTTTAGAATATGTACGGCTTGCAAGACTTCCGTTTTTTTGTGTGGAGTGAAGAGGGGTTCTACTACATTTACAGTGCCATGTCCGGCCCGTACTGTTGAATACTCTCCATGCCCTGAACCCTAAACCCTAAACCCTAAACCCTAGACCCTAGACCCTAAACCCTAAATCCATGCTTTGCTACAAGCCCAGCCTCCGAGCAGAAGGACGGCATCGCACTGCTGGTACAGGTGCAGGTGAAAGAAGCCATCGGGAAATGGACCTGGGTTTAGGGTTTAGGGTTTAGGATTGAGGGTTAGGGTCTAGGGTTTAGGGTTTAAGGTGGAGTTTTTTGCAGGGGTTTAGGGTTTGGGGTTTGTGGGGCGTTACAGGGTTTAGGGCTCGCAAGTTTAGGGTTTAGGTTTTATAGGGCTCATAGGGTTTAAGGTTTAGGGTTTATAGGGTCTGTATTATCGGGTTGGTAGGGTTTGTAGGGCTTGGGATGCGCAAACCCCACACTGCCTTGAAGACCCAAATTCCAACAGCCTGTGAGGAAGCGGCCCCTAAACCCTAAACCCTAAACCCTAAACCCTAAACCCTAAACAAGGCCCCTCCAAGCTTCTCAAGCCTTGAGCCCCCCCCCAAAAGCTCCCAGCCTTTAAACCCTTAAAGGGTTTAGGGTTTAGGGTTTAGGGTTTAGGGTTTAGGGTTTAGGGTTTAGAAGCCCTTTAACCCGCAAACCCTGAACCCTTGAACTCGAAGCCTGAAACCCTTAAAAACCCTGACGCCCTTGAACCCTTAAACCATGAGACCCTGACACCCTAAACCCTAAACCCTAAACCCTAAACCCTAAACCCTAAACCCTAAACCCTAAACCCTTAAACCCTAGAGGTCCTGAGCCCTTCAACCTTACACCCTGACACCCAAGCCCTTAAAACCAGGAACCCATAACCCAAGCCCTTACACCCAGGAACCCATAGAACCTTCCCCCCGAAGCTCCCAACCCTGAAGCCCTAAAGTACCCTTACAGCCTTAAACCCGCAGCCCTGCAACCCAAGGCCCTTTTAAATCCTTACACCCTAAAACCAGGAAGTCCCAAACCTGACAACCCAAAGGAACTTGGGACAGGCCCAGGGTTTACGGTCTAGGGTCTAGGGTTTAAGGACAGGGTTTAGGATATCGGGTTGAGGGCTAGGGTTTAGGGTTTAGGGTTTAGGGTTTAGGGTTTAGGGTTTAGGGTTTAGGGTTTAGGGTTTAGGGTTTAGGGTTTAGGGTTTAGGGTTTAGGGTTTAGGGTTTAGGGTGTAGGGTTTAGGGTTTAGGGTTTAGGGTTTAGAGTTTCGGGTGTGCAGCTATGGGCATGTCTAGGAGTTAGACTTTGGAGCTTCGTTCTGTCGAGAGTTTTGGGGCTCAAAGCCGAACACAAGCAACTCAACAGCCCTTCAGCCACTTGAACCCTAAACCCTAAACCCTAATCCCCAAACCCTAAACCCCAAACCCCAAACCCTAAACCCCAAACCCTAAACCCTATAACCCTAAACCCCAAACCCTAAACCCTAAACCCCAAACCCTAAACCCTAAACCCTAAACCCTAAACCCCAAACCCCAAACCCCAAACCCTAAACCCTAAACCCTAAACCTAAACCCTAAACTAAAACCCCAAACCCTAAACCCTAAACCCTAAACCCCAAACCCTAAACCCTATAACCCTAAACCCCAAACCCGAAACCCTAAACCCTAAACCCCAAACCCTAAACCCTAAACCCTATAACCCTAAACCCTAAACCCTAAACCCTAAACCCTAAACCCTAAACCCTAAACCCTAAACCCTAAACCCTAAACCCATGCCAGCCGAGGCTCTCTTCGACCAAGCCCTCGCCCCCGATGCCTGCCAGCTTGGTTTTAGGGTTTAGGGTTTAGGGTTTAGGGTTTAGGGTTTAGGGTTTAGGGTTTAGGGTTTAGGGTTTAGGGTTTAGGGTTTAGGGGTCCTCTTACTTCTGAAATAACCAGGGGAAAAAGAAAAGGAAAAAAACTTGAGGACTCCTACTAAATCAGCACATTCACAGAGCCTTGAAGTTCAAGATTTGGCTACGTACTTAAGGGGGTTTAGGGCTTAGGGTGCAAAGCTTAGATAGAATGCTAAACCCTAAGCCCTAAACCCTAAACCCTAAACCCTAGACCCTAAACCCTAAACCCTAAACCCTAGACCCTAAACCCTAAACCCTAAACCCTAGACCCTAAACCCTAAACTTTCCCTAAACCTGAAACCCCAAACGGAGAAGCAACCCGCCACTAGGGATTTCGAGCGTAGGGTTGAAGCTTTGCAGGCGTCGGGGTGAAGTTCGTTTATATTGTTAGCCCTAAACCCCGAACCCGAAACCCTAAACCCTAAACCCGAAACCCTAAACCCTAAACCCTAAACCCTAAACCCTAAACCCTAAACCCGGCGACTTTGGGGAGGGTGTTGATACCTAGGAAGCCCCTCCTCTTGCAGAAGGCTCGTGGAGCTGGCCACGGCCGCAACGGCAATGCCGGAGAGTTGGACATGAGGCGAGACCCTCTGGAACTCGAGATTGATCTCCTTGGTAGCCCCAGTAACAATATTTTATTATCCGGGCACCTCTTTACTTTATAAGGGAACCCAGAGCAAAAAACAAGGGTCAAGGGTACCACAGGGCTACCAAGTCTCCCCCCTGGGAGTCGCCACTGCCACGCCCGACACTTTGGCCGCATTTCTGAAATTCCCGGTGGCCCTTGCCTCTATCCCGTGGTTCACGCTTACCCTGCACTCACCCTCCCAATTCGACTTCTCATGAACCATGTAGACCTGGTAGATGTACTGAGCTGCTGGCGACAAGCCTTTGACAACTGCTGTGGCTGGGCCGTTGAGGTTTCGGATAAAGCCGCGCGCGTAGTCCCGGGTATGTGTCCAGCCCGTCAACTCTGTCTTGTAGCCGTTTGCCAAGGTGGCCTCGAACGTCTGTGACTCCACTTTGTCCAGCAGCTGATTGCCGAAGGAGTCGAAGTTGCTTTCAGATTCGGGGGCCAGGTGTTCAGAGACCTCAAGGACAGCACCCGCCCGCAGCTTCCAATTCAAGTAGTCCACGGTGGCCAGCATCTCATCCTTGGACAGTGCCCTGTCCCAGGTAATCACCTCCATGACTGCGAAGGCAGACCTCTCATCGTGCCCGTGATTCACGTACATTGGTATAGTTTGGCTGAACTTCTTGCCGCTGCCGGTGGCAATGTTCGTACTGCTCTCATCAAAGACCCTCTGAGCATCGTTGGTGCCACACAGAACGACCCAATCCCGCATGTCCTTGTTCCGGGAGTTCGATGTGACCCAGCCGTTGTAGAAAGCAACCCCGGTGCGCCCTTTCCAGTGGCCATGGAGCCAGTTGTAACTTTTCGACGACTGTAGGATGCGCCCGCGATGGTCTCCATTGCTATAGCGCGTGATGGAGCAGACGGTGTGCGCTGGTGGAAGGACGTCTCCGAAGGTGAAGCCTGAGTCAGTCTTGAGGTGCTTTGGCGCGTTGCGCCACGGCACGCACGCTTGCAACACAGACACACACACACACACACACAGAGACAAACACACACACACACACAGAGAGACACACACACACACACACAGAGACACACACACACAGACACACACACACACACACACACAGACAGACACAGACACAGACACAGACGCAGACACAGAGACACAGACACAGAGACACAGACACAGACGCAGACACAGACGCAGACAGAGAGAGACACACACACACACAGACACACACAGACAGACACAGACACAGACGCAGACACAGAGACACAGACACAGAGACACAGACACAGACGCAGACACACACACACACACACAGACACACACACACACACACACAGAGACAGACACACAGACACACACACACACAGACACAGACACAGACACACACAGACACACACAGACACACACAGACACACACAGACACACACAGACACACACACACACAGACACACACACACACACAGACACACACACACACACACATACCCAGTCGAAGCTGGTTGGGAAAATTCCTCGAAGTTCGCAGGTACGCCATTGCACGTCTGCAATGGTATCACAAGAGATATGCAGCGTCTTCATTGGGTGCTGACTGCAAATCTCTCCAGCACCCCCCTGCTTGACATAACATCTCGGCTTTCTTTTGGGGAATCAGATAAATCAGATCACTTCAGTGCGACGAATCAATGCACAGCTTTCAGGGGGATCAATGAGTGTTCAGCCATAACTTCACATCTTAGATACAGATGGTCCACACACACGTACCCGGTCGAAGCCGGTTGTGTGTTGTTATCTTGATGTTGAGGATGGAGAAGGAAGGGGGGGGGAGGTGGGGCGGTTGAGAAGTTCATAGATCGAAGATCTCTATGAACCAGGCAGCGAAGCTGAATTCATGTGACAAACAATACTACGTAGATATCTTACGACATGTTCTGATAGCGCAAGGTGAGCTCAGAAGAAAGCTCAGGGTGAATTCAGCAGGAAGCTCAGGGTGAATTCAGTCCTGTTCTTATCTGTAAGATTTAAAGGTCAACTTCTAACGCTCCCTTCAAAGCGTTTTAGTCGACTGAGAAAGCGAACACACTGCACCAAGGCTCCAGCTTACTCAGTCTTTGATCGACGGTGTCAATATCGCTACCAATAAGATACGCCACTGCGATGCTACACGGCAGGCATGAAACGTTGAGAGTTTTCTGTATGGCCAAAATCTGCTGGGGTGAAACATCATGAGTCTCCTAACGAGGCTCTAGAGAAGCCTGCTTGCAAGAACAACTGCTTCAACTGTTCAAGTTGTTGAACTCTCATTTCTGGTGGCTGTACATGCCGGAGAATGCTGTGTCTTTTGGAGTGATACGATGCCAGTTTTTGGGAGGAACTACCGGCACTATTGTGAAGTCGAATCTTCCAAGGTTCATCTCGAAGAAGAAGGAGGATCTTGGACTGTTGGGGGATCACATCAAACCCCAGGAATTCTTGCTCGGCATCTTGGGAATGTACATGTTCTAGTTCAACAGGACGGGCATAAAAGTCGTTCGACAGGAATTGCTTCAAGAAGGCTCGATGTTCATGCTTGACATCCAAAATGACAAGACGATTGTCTACATAACGGGTACAAAAGAGATCAGCTCCGATTCTTTGAAGATCAGCTCTATGTAGTTCCACAAACCGCTGTTCTTCCAATGACACTGTAGCGTTGGCCAGCATAGGGGAAATCTGGTTTCCTATGGTTGCTCCGCGGCGCTGTCGAAAAATACACTGCATCACGGAGAACACACTGCACTCGCAACTGAGATGACAAATAGCTCGGACATCTTGTAGATGTATCAGATAAGGTCTTTGGGCTGCTTTTCGCGGTCTGCCTCTCCAGATTCGGAGGTTTACATCTTTCTCCTTGAGGAGCACGGAGAACACAACATCAGCCAATTGTAATGCGTGACGATAACAATACCGACTGATGATGGCATCAATAGACTGCAAAATCCGATCTACGGGAATGCTCGTGAAAAACCCAACCAAGTCTTGATTAAAACTCAATGCCTCGAAGTCTTCTGGCGCTTGATGTAGGAATGCAGAAAGCTTCTGAAGCATGACTGGTAAGGTGTCCAATCCAAATGAGTCAGGACATACGTCACGAACTAGAAGATCGATAACGATGGCAGTAGCTTTGAACAATCGCGCGTACAGGAAATACTTGTAGCTGATAATGGGCCTTGCAGCTTGAAAAGACTTCTTCTGCTTGAGGAGGATATATGCAATCGGTATGGAAGGTTCACTGGCTCTGAAACCCCATTTGTATCTAGTCAGGAGAGCCTTACGCGTGGTCATCTTCAAGAACACAGAGGCTTGAGAATACGTAAGGGGGAGTCGTTCATATACTTCAGGGTCTCCAAAAGTCTTTCTGTAGACTCGCCACACAAAAAGAGGACAAAATACATGAACATGGGCAACTGCATGATCTCGGCCATGAATGAAGAATCCATCTGGGATTTTACGAAGAAAGGTTACATCCTTGAATTTGAGGGCGTCCCGGGACTCCAGCGAATGATCATTCCATTGTGACTGTACAAACGCAGCCCAATTGTCTTTGGTGACATCGAAGAGTCCATAATGTCGTAGCCACTGTTGTACGGCTTTCCAGGTGTGATCAATATAAAATTGTCGTTTAGGGTATACCTGGGAATCAGCAGAATGTTGCAAGATATTCTGTATTCGGCGTGACACTGCAAGAAGATGAGCCGGGGATGCAACGTGTCCATCTACAACTCGCAATTGAGGATGTTGTTGCTTCCATTGTTCACAATGACATACAGGAGGATGGTCCCAATCCCATTGTTGTTGTAGAATGATATTGTTGTAAAGCACAGATCGAAAGGACGGAAAAGTACCTGCAATCACTGTTTTGCTGGGTAAGTGAAAAGGGATGAGGTAGTCCTTGTACTGATGAATAAGGCTCTGTATCCATCTTCGCACTGATTTGCTGAAGTCCGTATTGGCAAGCATGGGGATCGTGAGGGGTTTGCCAAACTTTGGGACAGCTAGATTGCGAAAAGTGAGGCAACTGCGTAGGGCAGCTTTTACAGCAGTGCGAGGGGGATCATCCAATAGATTGCACATACGGTACAGGGCATACAGGTGAGCGGCGTGAAACTCGGAGCTTCTCAATCTTCGTTCCGTGTTGAATGCTGACATACCTCCGTGGGCTAATTTGACCAAAAGGGCCCAATTCTCTTGAGGACAGAGAGCCTGACTGGAATAACAACGAAGAATACCCTTGAGACCGGCAAAACCCTGCAGGTTGGCAAAACATTGAATTAATTAATTTATGATTTTTTTATGATTTTCAATATTTCGGATTTATGAAAAATTTATGAAAAAAATATGGCAAAAAAACATGTTGAATTAGTACGATGATATGGTCAAACAAATCATGCTGTTTTATTTCTGTTTCGTGGCAAGTACCACACCCTGCAGCAAGTTCTTATGTTCAGAATATTCGGCGCCAACTTGGATGTGTGCACATGGCTCCTGTTTAAAGATTCTGGTCCCACTATATATATGTATATAGAAAAGATTCTACATTCGCATCATGTACGCAGACTCCTGCTGCTCAGTTGCTAAACAAAAGCAGACTGCCTGACAACCTTCAAGGCTGCCAGGTCAGCACGAACCCATTGGTGTGGCAAACCCTGGAACCACCAGCCTCGCCTCAAGCAGTCGGCCTGGCAAGTCCCTGGACTGCCAGGCCGTCGATTTCGCAAGCCCCGCCCAAGACCCAAAACCATAAAATTTTCATTCATTGTATTTGGGCTGCATTCGTAAAAAAATCGAAAAACGCCTTGGGATTTTCGATTTTTTTGCGATTTGGGGCCCGCATGCCCAAAATTCTGACACCACACCGACTCTACAACACCAAAACCGTAAAAAAATCGAAAAACACATGGGATTTTACGAATTTTTTACGATTTGGGGCTCCATGCCCAAAATGCGACCATTTCCCCGGCATTCGTAAAAAAATCGAAAAAACCCATGTGTTTTCGATTTTTTTACGATTTTGGTGTCCATCCTCCAGCCCACCCATTGCTTCGATCTCTGACTCCATGTTTTTGATTGATTTCATTTACGAAATATTTACAAAATATTTACGAAGCCAAAAGCATGGCCTTAAAAATTTATGATTTTTTTATGGAGGCTGCGAGCCTGGCGCGACGTGGGGCCTGGGCCTTTCGTCAGGCGAACGAGGAGCCTCCGATGACCCGAACATGGCCCTGGACTCGACCCACGAGATTAATGGAGCCTGGCCCCTTTACCGATGGTGGTTCCGGCGCTTGCCACACCAATGGGTTCGCGCTGACATGGCATATCTATCTTGACACTGCATGCACAGCAGGGCCGGCAATTTGGGAAGACACCTGGTTTAGCTCAGTTCGAGCTGCGCCCCAAGGGGTAAACAAATACTAAGACTGGCCAAAATCCATCGAAAAAAAAACATAAAAAAATCATAAAATCCAAAAGCCTCGTTTCCAGATTCGTAAATTCCTAAACCCATGATTTCATAAAAAATCATAAATTAATTCTTTTTCAAAAACACCGCAGCTGCGGAGGCAGCCGGTCTCAAGAATACCCAATGTGCGAAGTCGTCTGCGTGCCTTCCTCCATAAGCGTTTTCCAGGACAACTGTATTGACTATTGGACAAGGTCTGCTGCGACGTACGGGTTGAAGAGGTTGGGTTGAGATTAGCAACCAAGGCATGTTAAGGCCAGGTTTCCAGGAATGTATGAGAGTACATTCAGCAGCCCGAACAGATACTTTGTCAGGAAATGTTCCTAGCGGCAAGATGACGGTGTCAAACAGGTCGGCATGGTTGTGAAAGTAATGAACCATGATTTCCGTGTTAGTAAACTGTCCTTGTTGTAGAAGTCGGAGCTTGCGAATACGAGCATCATGTCGTTG